TTTGAGGTCGAGTCATTCTACATAATGCTAMTTAGACTAGCCCTTCAAGTTTTATAGCATGTCTTGATTTCTTCTCCAAGTTCTATCTTTGACTTTCTTACTACATAGAGGACAGCATCTGAAATAGTGAAAATAAATGAATTTAAGTTATTCTGTTAAGCATCATCAGTATTATGTCTTCCCTAACATTACCATTCCTCTATTACATGGTGACATCATTATCTTTCCAATATTAAAGRTAAAATCTGCTGAGTCCTAGTGACTTTTCACTCTGCATCATCTGCTTATGCTAAACATTTCCCAAATATTCTCCAGCCCAAGTATGTGCATCTCAAATGCTGGCTTTGTTTGGCTTTTCAGTCTCTTATCAGAAATGAAGCARTGGTTTCCTAAATCATTTCCATGCTACCAAGCATCACTATTTTAATTCATCTTCTATTTTATAATAGTCTGATTGCCATGCTTAAAAACAGCAGCTACAAAACCATAAATATCATCAAGTGTAGAATTCACTCTTTATGTTGTTGCTCTTGTTTCTGACTCTTGACAYTGCCCTTACAGTTTAGACTGTTCCATCCTTTTATTCTACCTATGTTCATCTTTTTGGATGGTTTTGCATCTTAACCTTTTCATGGTGTACTTCAGAGTGGTCTTAAAACCATTTTCTTCTTTCCATGTTTGCTAATATAATAAGTATTGAAAAAATAAATGTTATTCTTCTAAATGAGCTAAATAGTTGCTCACATGTCTTTCCAAGAAAACTGCAGGGGATAAACCTGTAATAGTTACCATTTAGTAAYTCATTATTAATATTGCATTGTTAATAATGCACCTTAGATATAATCATCAGGTAGAACAGGTAGATAAAACCATGTGGTAAGAAATGAATTGCTTAGTAGAATAACCCATATTTTAATTCATTTTTCTGTGTCCTCAATGTTAGAATTTTGGAAGGATAAGAATTCTATTTTATTATTTACAGTCTTATTATTTCTTTTTTTTACTACATTGTTTGGTTTCAATTTGTTTTTATGTAAGTAATGACTGTGAGAAACACTAAGTAAACTAATTATTTTTAAATTCACAAATAAAAAGTCTGTATATTTATGTTATAAAACATTATTTTTTGATATATGGATACATTGGGAATAATTAAATTAAGATAATTAACCTATGCATTATCTCATAAATTTATCATTTTTTTTGTGGTGAAAACACTTAATATTTACCCTTCAGCACTTTTCAAGTATATGATACATTGTTATTAACTATAGTAAGTATGATTCAAAATGTTTTTTACTTAGTTCTTCTAAAGAAAAGTTTCTATCCTTTGACTAACATCATCCCAACCCTCCCTGCCCCAACCTCTGGTAAACAATATTCTCCTGACTGCTTTTATGAGTAATGAAGTATTCTTGTTAGAAAATACTATTTAATGAAATAGTCTTTTAAATTTCTATTTGTAAATTTATAGCCAAGAAAGCMTCTATGTCTTTACCTATAAAACATCCAAACATCATGAAAAATACTTAGTTACAAAATACCAATAATTATGGGAAGGCAAAAAGAATGATTAATGTTCAAAATAGGTCCCTACGAAGATTCTTGAAGCTAATGAATATTTTAATGCATGTTCTTCTTGCCAGTTTCAACAATAATATCTACTTTGTAATCCAGTATCAGTTTTAGTCTTTAAACTACTAAGGTTTGAAAAGTTCTTACTATTTAAAAGGAGTTCAAAGTATTTTACACAAATTTTTTAAGCATACACTAAATCTATTTTTGAGTGTTTACTACTAGAAATCATACACTTGAGAAGTTATGCCAAATGTGTTTTCTTGCTGTATTTTTTTAATCCATGAAGTCACTGTTTCTAGCTGTGAGTTTGAAAAATTCTACCAGATCACCCTGAATCTTCAAATTACTTCATGATGAAGCTTTAAAACCAGATTGGAACTCTCACATAAAATATGCTTTTCAATCCATCAAGGACTAGTTTCTCTGACCTGTAAAAAAGCAGATTCAAAATATGAACCCTTAGGTGTGATTGTTGCTTACTAGTAGTGCCTTTGTTCCTTGAAACTTTATTTCCTGCAAAATATCCATTCATGTCCACAGGACTCAGCCTTGGCTTCATCAGTCCTATTGACAAACTGCCAGATGCTTTCCTGGGGTTGATCCTTGTAACAACACCACATGAAGTTTTGGCCACCTGTTATTTGAAAGGATAGAACAAATGCTTAGCACATGTACTAATATTCAATCATTATCGTCTATTCATAGAAAGTGATTTTAAATTAGCCAGGTTAAAATTATGTATACTTATAAGAAATATAATAAAGAATAATACCTATTTTTGCAGCCTTCCTTAGGGCCAGTTCTCACAATGTGATAGTTATTACAAATTAAGAAAGTACTAATTCTACAGCTTTTATCCACTCCTGAAATTGTCCTACTATGCTAATTGATCCCTATAATCTGACTAACAGTTATATTTATAGTAATGATATTTAGAATAAATGAACGTATGCTATTTTGTTGAAGCTTTAATTTTATTTRGGTTGATAAGGCAACAAATAATTCTTTTTAATTCCATGACAGCACCTAATAACCAAAGTAGGTAGCTAGGCAATGTACACATCTCATTTACATACACAGTGTAGATACAGAGATAGAGATAAAAAGATACAGATATATACTTAAGTATATATATACACACACTTTTTACTTACAATCTCATTTAACCTTTACAACAAYTTTATGAAATTATCAGTTGATTTAAATTTTTCATCATTAGTTCATCAAATGAAAGAATTTAGACATGTCTGTCAAACTCTGACATCAAAGACCTTATACTAATTTACACTAAAACTATTTTCAACTTTTAATATGTACATGATAGTTTAGAGATGTAGATTATCCTTTTACTTGTAGAGACTAGATGCTTAATAGTAGAAACAAGTCATGCAAATGGTTTTGATACAAGTCA